TATAAGGTAAATTAGGCTAGTGATCTGAAACTTTTTATGATCACCCATTCTTACTGGTAAGAAACTCGATCACCCTCAATACATATATATTTTTAAGTTAAATACATGTATTATTACTATACTATCATATACTATTTGAAATATAAAGAAATAAAGGAGATTCAGATTAAAACATAAATACTAGGAAACCTTTATTTTGGAAATAGTCCCACTTAAAGAAAGATCTTCACATAGGAATTCTTTTTTTTTTTTTTTTTCGCTGGGGTTGGGTTTGAACCTGCCACCTCCGGCATACGGGGGCCGGCGCCCTACTCCTTTGAGCCACAGGCACTGCCCCTTCACACAGGAATTCTTGTCCTTGTATCTGTGGGTTCTTCCTCACCCATCTTTTTGGACTCTGGTTCTCTAATTTGGACAAATTATTTTTATTTGGTTTTATAGATTTCTTTTTTTTAGAGACAGAGTCTTACTTTGTCACCCTCAGTAGAGTGCTGTGGCGTCACAGCTCAGCAACCTCCAACTCTTGGGCTTAGGTGATTCTTTTGCCTCAGCCTCTTGAGTAGCTGGGACTACAGGCACCTGCCACAACACCCAGCTATTTATTTTTTTGCAGTTTGGTTGGGGCCATGTTTAAACCCGCCACCCTCGGTATTTGGGGCCAGTGCCCTACTCACTGTGCCACAGGCGCCACCCAGTTTTATAGCTTCCTTTTCCCTTTAGTCATGATCTTAGCCCCAGATTACTATAATAGTTTGTTTTGCCATGTTCTTTTTTTCTTTTTGAGACAGAGTCTCACTTTGTTGCCCTGGGTAGAGTGTTGTGGCATCATGGCTCACAGCAACCTCAGACTTGTAGGCTCAACTGATCCTCTTGCCTCAGCTTCCTGAGTAGCTGAGATTACAGGTGCCTGCCATAATGCCCAGTGATTTTTAGAGACAAGTGTCCCTCTTGCTCAGGCTGGTCTCTTAATTCCTGAGCTCAAACGATCCACCTGCCTTGGCCTCCCAGAGTGCTCAGATTATAGGTGTGAGCCACCATGCCTGGCCTGTTCTGTCATGTTCCTGATACTTGAACATAATTGGTTCTGAGATAAAGTCCCTTAAGGTGAATTTAAAACAAGGAACAATGGCTTGGTGCCAGTAGCACAGTGGTTACAGTGCCAGCCGCATAAACCGGGTGGTGGGTTCAAACCCGGTCCAGGCCAGCTAAGTTTGTACTACAACAAAAAAATAGCCAGGTGTTGTGGTGTGTGCCTATAGTCCCAGTTACTTGGGAAGCTGAGGCAAGAGAATTGCTTAACCTCAAGAGTTTGAGGTTGCTGTGAGCTGTGAGCTGTGTTGCTACAGCACTTTACCAAGGGTGACATAGACTCTGTCTCAAAAAAACAAAACAAAAAGAAGGAACAAAATTATACAGTAGACTAAAAAAAAAAAGAAACTTAAGCCACACGTGATGATGCAGACTGCAGTCCTGTATACTCAGGCGGCTGAGGCAAGAGGATAACTTTAGCCCAGGAGCTCAAGGCCAGCCTGGGCAACATAGTGAGACTTCATTTCTTTTTTTTTTTTTTTGGAGACAGAGTTGCGCTTTGTCACCCTTGGTAGAGTACTGTGGCATCATAGCTCACAGCAACCTCAAACTCTTGGGTTCGGAGTTTCACTTTGTCACCCTTGGTAGAGTGCTGTGGTGTCATACCTCACAGCAACCTCAAACTCTTGGACTCAAGTGATTCTTTTGCTTCAGCTTCCGATGTAGCTAGGACTACAGGAGCCTGCCACAACTCCTGGCTATTTTTAGAGACCAGGTCTCACTCTGGCTCAGGCTGGTCTCAAACCTCTGAGCCCAGGCAGTTCATTTGCCTTGACCTCCCGATTATAGGCATGGTTTACACCTATAATCCCAGCACTATGGGAGGCCAAGTGGGAGGATCACCTGAGCTCTTGGGTTTGAGACCAGCTTGAATTAGAGGGAGACCCTGTCTCTAAAAATAGCCAGGCATTGTGATGGGCGCTTATAGTCCCAGCTACTCGGGAGACTGAGGCAAGAGAATTGCTTGAGCCTAAGAGTCTGAGGTTGCTGTGAACTGTGATGCCATGGTACTCTACCAGGAGTGACAAAGTGAGACTCTGTCTCAAAAAAAAAATTTTAAGTTTATTTTATATTTAATAAAAATTAATTTATGATTATAAGTCTATAATAACTCTTCAAGAATAGATTTGGTTTTTCTTTTTGGAGATAGGATTATTCTGATAAAATTACTCAATAGTCTGATATGACATCCTTCATTTCACTTTTGGCTTTTTGCAAATTAAGGTTTGAGAAGACAAATTTCTAAGTGTTTCTTTGGGGGTATATTTTAGATTGTAATAATTCTTTACCTCTGTGTGGCAGCCTTATTGCTGTGGGTAGATGGATAGTGAATACTTGTATGATATGAACCCTCTGCACATATGTAGATGTTTTCAGACTCCGTGGACAACGTTCTACTTTGTAATTTTTATATAGAACAGTCTATATTAATGTATTTCTACATCATTTTAAAAAGTAGCTTGAATCATTACAGAGTGATGACAAATTTGTGATTTTTTTTCTTCAGATTCCTTTTGTGCCATAGGGGTTTATATCTAATATTTAAAATTTTTTCTTACTAAATTTCCTTTTAACTTTTTTTCTTATTTCTTTTGGAGGCTTGAGTCTTAACTGTTGCCCCAGGCAACCTAGTTCATAGCAACCCCAAATCCTGAATAGCTAGGACTACCAGTGCTTGCCATAGTGCTCTACTAATTTTTCTGTTTTATTATTTATTATTTTTATTATTATTATTTTTTTGCAGTTTTTGGCCGGGGCTGGGTTTGAACCTACCACCTCTGGTATATGGGGCTGCTGCTCTACTCATTTGAGCCACAGGTGCCGCCCATGTGTTTATTTATTTATTATTTTTTTTTTTAGTGACAGGAGTCTTACTTTGTCACCCTCGGTAGAGTGCTGTGGCGTCACAGTTCATAGCAATCTCCAGCTCTTGGGCTTAGGGGATTCTCTTGCCTCAGCCTCCCAAGTAGCTG